TCTCTTTTGATGATTTCTTAGCAATTGCTTCAAAAGTTTTCAGTTCTTCAGAAAGTATTGTCCTCTCTTGGACTTCTCTGACCCTGGTTAAATCATTGTAACAAAATGTGATTGGCTGATAGTGATGCCATTGTACTCCACTCTAAGATCCTGATTGACTAAGACTACCCATGTGGCCACCTCAGGATACTTTGCACTGTGATGTCATTATGCTTGTACAACTGTACTCTTGGTAGCTGAGAGCACCCATTTAATTAAAACCAAAGAAAGAAGGGAGCCCTGCCAAGGAGGAAAAGAAAATCAAAAACATCAAAAGTCAGGAGAAACAAATAAATCGAACAGGATTGGGAAAAAGCTGAGTTTTCTCAGCATCAAAGTTTTTAGGAAACAACCTCAGCCTTCTACAATTTTGTATGAACACTGAATATTTCAACTTTCTATTGAAATATCAATATATTGCAATAATAACCTAATTTATTAGATGAAGGTAGTTATGGCATCTTAAGTCCCCTGATGTCCATTTTCAAAAGTCACAGGATTAACATTGATCACAAACTGGCCAAAAGCTGACTTCAGGTGACTTCCATTAATCTGGCTAACCTCTTTTGGAACCCTACAGTTGGCCTCCAATATACCAATTGGCACTTTATACATTAAAGTAACTCTAGGCACAATCCAGTGAAAGTGTTCAATCCAGTTAAATCCCATGCATTTCAGCAGGAGAGAAATAGTCACGCACTCATCCAGTGAAATCAATGGAACTTATATTGCTTATATTTGGCTGGAGCATGTTTGATTCATAACTTTTATCAAAGGCATAGGGTATGGCTCTTTCACTTTGAGATTTTAATTATAGCTTAAATATTAAGGTACTGAAGTTATGATATTATTTTATAGAAGTGTAATGTGGATAGGAGAAATAACCACTAGATTTACTTTATTTGCATGATATCCCATTTATTTATTGAAATTATTATTATTACATTGCATTTATATGCTGCCTTTTTCCTCTTGTGAGGAACTTGGTGTGGCTTGAATAGCTTCATTTTTATCCTCACAACAACAACCCTGTGAGGTAGGTTAGGCTGAGAGTGAGCAACTGGCCTGAAGTAACTCAGTGAGCTTCATGGCTGAGTGGGCACTAGAAGCTGGATCTCCCTGATCCTCAGTCCAACATGGTAACCAGGACACATCACTTTAAAAAAAACTCTTAAACAAAAACGCATCGAAACAAGGGTCCCTGCTTCCAAGAAGCATATCTTCTAAAGCTGCAATCTTGTACACGCACATCTGTGAACAAGTCTTGCTGAACTTCATAGAATTTATTTCCCAGCAGACATGCATAGAATTGTATTGTAAACTACAATCTTAAACAAGTGGTAAACAATGGCTATCAATAACAATTCCTTGAATTAAAGCAAAGTATTCACTCCCAAGATGAGAATGGAAAATTGGGATGAATAGTAAAGTACAATTTAATTGTGAATTTAATTGCAGTTCTTACACATAATTACATTCATAACTTAAGCAGGACAACTTCTAACAAATGGATCCGATTTTTAATTTTATCAGCTAAATTATTCATGTAAAGATTACCATGACCTTTTAGTTTAAAATTTAAATGATTAAGGCACAAAATCCTATGCATATTTAGGCAGAAAAAGCCTCACAAATCCCAGGTTGACTGGAAATTTCTGAGAGTTATGGGGCCTCTCTCATTCTAAACATGCATATGATTTTACTCTCTGTTTGTGTGTTTGCTGCACTCTTTTATACGAGACTTTATGTAGTCCTGAGTAAACATGGCTTAGTTGCAAGAATAGATGGAATGCTTAGTTCATCAGTTTTGATTTGCATTTTCTATACCTGTAAATCCACACACGATGTACATGCTAGTTCGAAATTTGGTGAATGTTAACACTTGCTGATAATTCTTAAGTTGTTAATAAGTAATTCATTAAATCAAGATTTTAGGTGGCACACAGGAAATGTCAGGAAATACCTTTGGTAAGTACCTTTAGTAAGTATAATCTTAATTTCCATTAGTTGACATTTACCATGCTGGGGATTAAAATGTCAGAAATTAGAGTCACAGTGGTAACTTTTCTTAATTTTCCAGCCAAGTTTCCTAAACTCTTAATCATTACTGGTATATACTGTACCAACAAAACTTTACTAAAGTTATATCTATGTCTTTATATCTGTCCTCACATAGAGTCATGGATAGCGCGCGCGCGCGCGTGCGCACACACACACACACACACACACACGTATGTGCGCACCTAATATTAAGTAAGGTGGGGTGGGGGATTGTTCTGAGTAGGCTCCAAAGAACCTCAAGCAAAGCAGCAGGATGAGTGCTCAGTACTGACCTTGTGATTTTTCACAGCAGTTGTTGTCTACAGGTGTCTCATCATATATTGTGTCACATCTGCCTTGATGTACATGGTAGTTACAGGGCTTTTTCATTGATAATTTTGCTTTTTGATTATTGGTTTTCACTTTTATTTTGTTCTTGTTTATTCATATTTATTATTATTGATTAGGATTTTTAAAAATATTGTTTTAGTTGATTTTTTCATGTTTTAAATTGTGTGCCAATGTGGCATTTATTTATTTATTTTTAAAAAAGCAGTATATAAAATAAATTTTAAAAATGCAATCCAACAATTGAAGGGTTTCAGCAGACACCCTTCAGTACACCAATCAATTATTTGGCTGATGTGGGAACTTTGCCCATTGCTTCCTCGTGTTGCTGGTGAGGATTTTGCTGCCCCACAGCAATACAGTGGTCTGTATGGTTCCTGATGCCCAAGAAGCTTTAAGTAAAGTTTTTCCCACAACTTGCTGAGTGAAGCTTGGTGAAGATAGATTGAGAGCAAATGTTATTTCTAATTACTTCTGAATAAAGACAGGTGAACCTGTCAATCTTTGCTTTGCTTAGATTCTCAGTTTTCTAATCCCAGATTGGAAAACCATCCTAGTTTTACATCAGACTGCTTTATTTTTCTTTAGGTTGCACCAAAAATTTATACATATTTTTGTACACATGTTTTTAAAACAGCAAGACATCTTGTGGATTTTTTAAAAAATGTGCATACTTTTGTGCACCCTTTTTCATATAGACATGTTTGAAGGATGGAGAAGAGAGAATGTCATTTTGTGACAGGGACGGTATAAGTAGGTTCTAATTACACTGGGTGGCTTTTCCAGGGTTCTCCTGTCACAGTATTTTGGGGGTGGGGAAGTTGAAGTAATATCTAACAGGTCTAATCCAGTATTTAGTGCTCTTCATTAATTCTGCCTCTTAGAAAGCTAGCTAGCTAGCTGCACAGGCCCTCTTTTGGGCTTGTGTGCTCTTCCTTAAGTTTTCCTAATCCATTGCTAACCTTTCTGCAATCCTTTTGGTTCTATCCTAAATCATTTCAGATAATACAATCCTTATTCCCTGGCACTTTGTGTTTATCATCATAGCATCTCTGGCATAACATATTTGCACACGTTGCCTTCCAAAAACCCAGTGGAATAAATTAAAACCCTCTTTTAAAAACCTACAAATGGTAAATACTACTTTTGCACAAAAGCCCTGCCACCCTTATCTTGAAATTTTATAGTTTGCTTAAAGGTTAAAGCACAAGTTGTCAGCCAAACTTTGACAGACAGCAAGTCCCTGTATCTGCTGCTTCCTGTCAACTTTAAGACATTGACATGGAAACCCCTAAACCAGGAGTCCTCAAAGTTTTCCACCAGGGGGCCAGTTGAAAGCTGCCGGTGCTGGATGCGGGCTGGAAAGGGGGTGCCAGCGGTGTGTGCGGGTTGGCACAGGGGCGGAGGCGGGGGTGGGGGCGGCATGTGTGGGGTATGCGGCCAGGCAAGGTGAGGTGAGGTGAGGCACGGGTGGGCATGTGCCGCGAAGCGGGTGCACGAGGCAGTGGCTTGCTCGCTTGGAGATCGTTTTCTCCGAGGGAGCAAACTGCTGCCTCCCCGCGCATGGGGAGAGGTGGGCGGAGGTGGGTGCATGGCGGGTCCAAATGGGCATGACGGGCCAGATCCGGCCCCCGGGCCATAGTTTGAGGATCCATGTCCTAAACAGTATAATTTTGTAATTAGGTGGGGCAACTTTAGGAAGAATGTTATTTTCTTATAGCTTGCCCTTCACTGCTCACAAACTGAAGGCTGTAAACAGATCCCATTTTGGAAACCCCCAATTCCAAATGGCTGCCCTTGCACAAAACAATTATGCTGCTAAATTCTGAAGTATCCCCACTTTTTTCCCCTCAAAAGGGTCATCTATGTTTGCAAATTTCCTCTAAATTTGACAAGAAATAAAAATGTGATACACAGCACCTTTTAAAATTTAAGAACACCTAGCATCAACTTCCCTGCATCTTTTTCTCTCTATTGTGCAGATTCCATCTCCTCAACAGGGAGGACTGTGCTTAAAAATTTCACCAGATTTTGTCCAAATACAACAAAAATTCCAATTATCTATTTCAAGTTATATCAGTGGGAAGAACAAAGTTTTAGATTTCCAAAGGGAGACTTGGAGTCGAGTTAAGATCACCAGCCTCTGATTTGGTCCAAGCTGAAGCAAGTTTGCACCGAATCCCCAAATTTGTTCTGAATCAAATCACACATCTTATGTACAGATAGTTGTCATGAAATCATTGTCACCTGGAAAAGAGGTGCAAAATCAACTGCATAAGGCTGGTGGTGGGATGCCCTGTTTCAGCTCCTTATAGCTGTAATATCTTGAAGAAAAGGATATGGTGGGTGGCCAACTGACTGGAACCCTGAACAAGAACAGACTTGTCAGGATGTGAGGATACATGGCAATATTTTGCTGCAGGTTTTTGTATTTTGCCTACGTATTATGAACAGATCTCTCAATGCGTAAACTAGCCACAGCAATTAGGAAAGGGTGTCCACCCTGATGATTCCGAAGAGGAGCAACAGCTTGTGTTCATGAAGAGTTTTCACTGTCTCTTGTCACACAACAGGTGGCTTTCCCAGTGAAGCTCAAATCGCTCATGGAGGGAGGCTCGTTCTCACCCAGATTGCTGCCCTTCTAACGAAGCGCCTTCATCACACCAGGCGAGACTGGAGAGGGACGTTGTCAAATGTTCTCCTCCCTGTCATCTTTGTTGCCATGGCAATGGCCTTGTTTACCGTGAAGCCATTGGCTATTGATTATCCTTCACTTAAGCTGACTCCAGGACTTTATGACAATGTTGAATTCTTTTTTAGGTAAAAAGCCCATTCATCATTGTCAATAGCACAGGGACAGGACCATTCATTTTTCAAAAGTGTCCTCATCATTTTAATTCAAGGAGTTATCCCTCTAAGTAGGATAATCACCACTCAGCTGTACAAAGGCAAGCAGGGGGAGTAAATCTATAAAACTGCTCCTACCATCTTTTAAACAAGAATATTTTCACCTTTATGTAGGCACTGGGTAATGTGATTGGTGAGTTTCAATGCACTCTACTGAGGGCAGTAGGTATCATTTATTAGAATGTTCACATATATACATTACGCTGTGATCCTTACATTTCTGTAAATTCAATTGGTAATTATACTATTTATTATATCATATGACAAATTAGATGTGTTTGAAAGGGTTTCTGATGTAGTTCACACAACCATTATGGATTACTTAACTCATGGTGAGTTGGTCTGCCAGACTTGGGTGACCTCTGTTTTCAATATGTAAGCTCTAACTGGGTCAGTCAAGGATTCTCTCATGTCATGTGAACTTGGCCAGGACAGGTTATTTGAGGCTTAAACAACTCTTGCATCACCCTCAATTATTAGTAGGATTATGTGAAGGTTGTTTAACTCTTAAATAACCAACAGTATCAGAGTTCACACTGCACAACATAACCCCCTATTGGCCTAACCAAGGACTGCAGGTTCAAAATATTCACACTCATTTGGCATGGGCCACAACACATTGTAGGTTGGATAGCCCACAGCGAGTTGCCCATTTTGTGCAGTGGGTAGTACCACCCATTATTTGCCAAATTTCTAAATTTCCTTCACTTAGAAACATAGAAACAGAGCGAGTCAGAAGGGGTCTCACGGGCCATCTAGTCTGACCCCCGGCTCCAGCCAGCTCCGCTCACGACATGCCCGCCATGTGCATATCCAGCCTATCTTTGAACACCCTCACTGATGGGGCCCAACAACCCCCCTTGAAAGCCCATTCCATACCCTTGGGGTCCTAACCATCAGGAAGTACTTCCTGGCATCCACCCTACTTGGACTCCACATCCAATATATTTGAATATTTTCATAATTCTGGAACGCAAATGTTAGCTGCTAAAAATAAATGATATACAAAGTTCTTGTTTTCATCATAGGATTTTGTTTAATGGAAGCATTTCCAGACTTCCAATTAATATATAATCTGACATTGCTCCAATTCCTCTTAATAGCCCTTCCAAAAATATTTGAATTTTGGATAGCTCCTACATCCATGCACAGTAGCCTATTGTGTTCCAATCATTTTTGAGCATTTACCCTCTTCAGATCTCAGCAAACTTTCTTCCTTCCAATTTGCTATAATTACCATCCTGATATGATTATGCAAAATGGTTTCTTTCAGTGAAATAGCAGGGAAAAATAAAATTTTTGAATTGAAATAACATTCCAGCAACAGCCACTAATGTCCGGTGTTCTTTCCCCTGCTTTTACAAACAACCTCAAATGCAGCTCAGTATTTGGTCTTAGGGGAGAACTAGCTTAAGAAAGGAATGCAGGATCCTCCTTCCTTCCACCAGAGTGGACAGTCAAGAGCCTCCTTGCCATACTTTCTCCCATGATTCTGCAGCCCCTGGATTGTGTATGGGTGGGTGACTTACTGCACCTCAGGCCAAGATTTGGCCATGGATCCTCCTGTCGTTCATACCTGTTTTAAAAACCACCTTGTTTTCATATTTTTTAGCAGCAGCCAAGATGATGACCTTCCTCATATGCTGTTACAGTATTTTACAGATGGGGAAGACTCTTGCTTGCATTCAAGTCATGGAATGTAAGTATCAGCCATGCAATGTTTATGTGCTATATTGTGGAAATACAGGCTGGAATCAACTTTAAAAGTCGCTCTTGCTTCTTTTCTTTTCTTTTCTTTTCTTTTCTTTTCTTTTCTTTTCTTTTTTTTTCTTTTCTTTTCTTTAAAACAGTAAATTACTAATTTAGGAAAGGAGATTGGAAAGGGAGGGGGAGATAAACAGTAATTACACCTTCCATTTTATGCTTCACAACATTTTATGTTAGTATGCTAATTATTAGCTATTAATCAAATTGCTATTAGCAATTAGGTGGCTGCTTAAGCACATTCTTTATAACTTGTCAAGAGCTGCTTCATGCTTTCCTTGGAAAAATATAAAGTTAAAAGAAATATGTATCTTGATTACTCCCTTCCAAAATTCTGTATTGGTGTTTATCCTTCTAAAAACATTCCTTTGTTTAAGTCTTTTCTACAGCTTTAAAAAAAAACCTGTACTGATAGATAAAGCCTGTTTCAGCTTAAAATTCTTTGAAAAACACATGCCAGAACCAACATTTTAAACATGTGAGAATTGGAGATGTTTGTAATCCCTAAATCCTTGGGGTTGGATCCAGTTGTACACTGGGTCAACCATGTTGTCAGAAGTTGACTTCCTTGCCCTCTCATTTGAAAGGCAGCCTCTGAACATGTTATGCAAAGAGTCAGGAGACCCTGATGAGTGGAGGTACCTGTTGTGTGCCTGGGAACCCCCAAAACAGAATGGGGCAATCTCTTGTAGAAGACAGATTCTGGAGTCAGCCCTTGGCATTCCAAATGGTATTTCCTTTAATACCTTATTGAGGCAGTTTGAAAATCTCCAGCCAACAAAGTGCCTGTATCCAAAAAGGTAAAACCTTGGGACAAAAGTGTATTGTCCCTCTGAGGCAGAGGTCCATCTCCAGGAGCCCTCTCTGAAGGAAATTAGGAGGGTAGGTACTTGGAGAAGAGCCTTTTCAGCAGTGGCACACCAACTGTGGAACATTTTCCCCAGGGACATTTGCCTGGCATCATCGCTTTATTCTTTTTGGCATCAGGCAAAGACCTTTTTATTTTCCCAATATTTTAACAGTGATTTGGTTATATTCTTGTTTTTATCATCATTTATTGGATACAGTGTATTGTGTGTTGTTTGTTGTATATGTTTTTTGTTTTGTTTTTTGTAAACCATCCAGAGACTTTTAGTATTGAGATGGCATAAAAGAAATAACAAATAGGATTTGAAAGGGTTGAAAAGCAAGTTCAGCTTCTATTTGATCATTAACAATTGCTTAGCCATTACCTATTCATATGTAATATTGCTTCCATTTCCAGTATCATAAACAAATACAGCTTTCAGAATACCAGGAGATCGCAGGCGACTCCTCTAATGAGGCGGCCAGAAGAACACCAGCAATGAGCATGCCTAACCACCTCCAGCCATCAACATTGAGGGCTAGAATTACACTCTAAATGACATGCAGGTCCCATTGAAATCAATGAGAGAAGTGAATTATGAGCTAAGTCCTATATGTCTCAAAGGGAATTTATTGCAACTACAATAGTCTAGTTATGACCTAGTATTAGTCCATCAGAAATTAGCAGCCCTATTTGGCCACTCTCCTTTGTAATATGCTGTTTCTGGAAATTGCTTTATGTGTTTGAAAATGTCTTGCTCACCCACTCTAGATGAGTTGGTTTTAGACATAATTTTTCTGGGCTCCAACATCACTGCAGATGAGGACTGCAGCCAAGAAATTAAAAGACGCTTGCTCCTGGGGAGGAAAGCTATGACAAATCTAGACAGCATACTAAAAATCAGAGACATCACCCTGCCAACAAAAGTGCGTATAGTCAAGGCTATGGTTTTCCCAGTGGCAATGTGAAAGCTGGACCATAAGGAAGGCTGAGCGCTAAAGAATTGAGGCCTTTGAATTGTGGTGCTGGAGAAGACTCCTGTGAGTCCCTTGGACTGCAAGGAGATCAAACCGGTCAGTCTTAGATGAGATCAGCCCTGACTGCTCTTTAGAAGGCCAGATACTGAAGATGAAACTCAAATACTTTGGCCACCTAATGGACTCCCTGGAGAAGAGCCCAATCCAGGGAACAATTGACAGCAAAAGAAGAAAGGGATGGCAGAGGATGAGGTGGCTAGATGGAGTAACTGAAGCAGTTGGTATGAGCTTGAGTGGATTCCAGGGGATGGTGGAGGACAGGAAGGCCTGGAAGAATGTTGTCCATGGGGTCATGATGGGTCGTACCTGACTTCATGACTAACATAATACTTAGAGCAGACACATTGCGATCACTGGGATTTAAATTAAGACCCATGGATTTCAGTGGATCTACTCTAAGTTAGGAATATATGAATCTATCAGTATTAGTATTGCATTTTTCTGATCTTAAATGTGTTTGATCCTGAATATTGAGAATTAGAAAAAGCACTTTGTATGGCAATTCAGATGTATTTTTGTGTCCTGATACACTTACTTTTGTATGCAGGTTTGCCTAACACACACATTCTTGCAAGCAGTTTCCCCCATATGCTGCATTTTTAATGTAATCTTGACACCCTGCTCCACATTACTTGCATGCGCTTTTCTGTAATATAACATTTTTGTAAGCATTTTTGATTGGAGAACTCCATTGCAAGATTAGGAAAATTGCAAATTTACAAAGATAACTGAGTTTGGATTTGCACATTGATTAAAAGGTGAAAAATTAGGCCAGTTCTCAGTCAAATGAGAACCAGATGAATTTCTTCCTCATTCCTGTTCTGAGTATGACTCAGTCAGAATTGAACTCAGTATATGTTATATATTCCATCATTAGCGCTTTGAACCACATAAGGTAAGCCAGGAAATAAGGAATTAAAGTGAATAAATTAATGGGAAAACAGGCAAGAACGATCTAAATAGATCTTTTCTCTTTAGGACTGAGCAAGTTTACAATAGAAGCAAGCTGCGCATGGCACTAATTGACTGGCACCCCAGTATTTTTCTAAAGTCTGCTCCTTCCCAGAATCCCCATGTCATTTCTATGTTAAAAAAATATAAAAACCCAACAGCTTGATCAGGCAGAGAATGAACAAATGGATATGAAGCCCTTTAAATAGTGTTTAGAGGTCAGCTGCCTGCCTGAAGTATCAGCAAAGGCAAGCCTCAAAACTGGACCCGTGCCCTCTTCTCCAGTATGGACACCTGTAATTCAAGTTCCAAAGACAAGATGTCAAGTTCTCAGCACAGTTTTTAAAAATATGATCTGGATCTTCACCTCAAGACGCAGTGACTGCATCATTATCTGTGCATGATTACTGCAAAATTATATTCTTTATCTTACCTCGATTTCTCAGCTTTTTGTTAAATTAGGAGAACTTTCTGCTGGAAAACCACGTCTAGTTCGGAACAGGAATCGCTGCCTTGGTGTGGATGTGCACTAGGCCAAGAGGTATGCTAATTTTATTTCTTTGGGTGAAAGCCCCTTTAAAATCACAATTATTACGAGATGCTTGAGAGAAAAGAGGGAAAATAGGATTCACAGTGAGCTGAAAATGCTTTTGCAGCTTTCCTCTTTTTTTTTGTTATATATGGCAATTGTGGAAAGTAGATATACTGCAGACAATAAACTCTTTCTATTCTGGATGCTTGCAGTTCAGTCTGGAAAATACCCATCCTTCCATTTATATTTCATGGTGAATTTTACACCGTTATGAGGTGTACATTCCTAGATATTTTTGTGTAACCCTCCCCTAAATTCCACCATTATTATTTAGTAATAGAAAGGTGGGGAGGGTCAGTTTCCCAAATATAATTCCATTGTAATTCAGAAAGTGTCACTGTTTGCAATGTCTCAGCTAAAGGATAGACTAATAAGACAGACTTGCATTCTTTATCCCTATATACTAGGAGAGTTACATGTTCAGGCCTTAATGGGCTGCTAGCATTAATATTCAGTGCTTAAATACTTTTTATTAGATTTATTAGATTAAAGATTTTATTAGATTAAAAACTTTTTATTAGATTAAATCTATTAGATAAACCATCTGTCTTATAAACAAGTAAAGCATGAACCAGCCAAACTGAGCATTTTAATTACCCATCCTATTGAAATTAACTTTTGGTGGGTTGTGCTCTTAGTTGATTATATGTGGACACCCTTTTTTAACCAGTATTTCATTACAGATGCTTCTCTTTGTTTTGAGGATATTGAGGTATTTGCACAATAATTCATAATTTAAGTGAAAAGCTATCCTTCATTGTTGCAAAAAAGAAGAGGCATATTTTATGTTTCCCTTTTCACTTTCTATTACAGTAAAGCACCAAAATGAAAACGACTATAATGAAAACAACTGAGTCCTTCAGTGATCAGTTCACTAATTAAATATTACCTTCTTGGTTTAAAGTTGTCCCATCCACAAACTATCTAAAACTTGCATTGATTAATTTGTTGATGAAACCAGTTCAAGTGTAAAACCCTTTTGCAAATCAAAGGTAAATCGATTTGTAATTTTGAAACACTTGTAGTTCTGGGTTTTTCATTATTTAGCAAACATTTCACTTTTTTAATAACTTATTTTACTGAATCATGCTTTCACCTGCACTCCATTCATTTTCTTGCCTCATGCACCTCTGATTTTAGCTTCAGCACATAAGTTGTAACTGTAGAGTTTCGTACTTTTCACTGAGCCTTCCCCAAAATAGGACTACAGGATGGGTTGACTGGGGATTGCATTTTTCGGCATCTGCCAAACAGGGGACTGACTACTGGACCCCAGAGCCTTCTGCTCTGCTTTTTCTCATTGTTGCTACCTCTTCATTTGCCCTCTGCCATCATGTGACCAGTGACGACGTCAAAGGGAAGGGGCAGCAGGCTGTACTGGTCAGTGGTGGGAAGAGAGGGGGAGCAAAGCAACGGGCCATAGTCACGCAGGCAAGCAGATGATTTCCACTCACCATTCACTGAGGGGCCATCTTGCCCAAGGAGTTGCCCAATTTTGGAGGTTGGATGTTTTCTTAAACGAATTTGGTGCAGAAACTTGAAATTGTTCTCAGTGTCATTGTGATATGCAGGTGTTATATTTGCTGTATATATTTTATATGCTGTAAATATTTTAAAAATGCATAGATGAAGGACTTCTGTGCTCATACACATAAACACAAGGTACTGCTGTACAGGTACTCTGCTTGCCAGTTTTCTCTCTAGGTAGCTTTCCCTCATTTCTCATGGAATGTCATTCCAGAGGATCACCTAACTTTCCAGAACATCATTGTGTGTGTGCATGCAGGTATATGCTCCCTGCAATGATTTCTGATTGCACTAGATTCCTTGTGAGCCTTTGGATCCAGTCCATATTTTTTTGATGCATTCATGGGAGACAAGTCTGGCTGGGAAAGCACAAAGGTGGTTGATTTCTCAACGAACGGTTTTATATTTTTCAGACATGTCCACCATTAAATACTTCTGTTCCTTATATGAAGAACAAAAAAGGACATATCTTATATAAACTTTCAGGCCTCAATCTTGAAGAGTACTTAATCAGGCCATTAAACAAAACAAGGTAATCTGAATGTTTTCCAACTACTGCTAAAATGTTTGGACATTTACGAGTGTATGTTGTCATATATCATGTGTGGACAGTGTTTTATGCTTCAGAATTTTATTCATCATATTTGAGAGTTAATAGGCTACAAGAGAAGAGATCCTGATGGTATGGTTTTTCTTTATCTCATATCTTATTCTGTTAAGAATGTTATAACTTCTGTTTGACAATCTGCTGTCATCTTCTTTTGCATTACCAGATATGGAGGCTGGTCTTTTGGAAGAATACCTACTGAGCTTCAGAATGTGTCACCCCATAATTCTCTGGCCAAGGTAAGTTTGATGTCTCCAAAACCCCAGATACTTTATATTGACAGTCTCTCTTTGGATTTCTCCTGGCATTAGTTTAAAAACTATAAACCACAATAGTGATGCTGTGATATCTACACACCTGAAAATGCAAAAGATATGAGTGACATTCTTGGTTTGAGAAGTGTGACAACTATATTCCCTGTTTAGTTGACTTTTAAATGAGCTACTTAAAGAATTTTTTAGAAATGTAGCAGATGCTTTTCTATACTGATGTCAAGATGAAAACTTTCTGGGTGTCCCAAAACTTGGTGCAGGTCCAAACCCACATCATCTATGAACCTTGACTCCGATGGCTGCTCAGGCGAGCTAAACACTCTCAAATTGTCCCTCTGAAAGACAGCTTCCAAAATAAAACATGAACAGTGATTGTGTTGTGGGAAGGAGACATTGCAGGCTCATGTGCAATAATTCTGTCTTCCAAATTTGTAACTCTAGTGTCCATTGCCTTAAGATGAGTCATTAAAATCCACAGAAACTTGCAGTAGCTTAATTGAAACTTGGAGGCATTCCATCTTTGACCACTCAGATACCTCCAGCTCCGGAGACATATTCTTCAACGAAGTATCAATTTCATCTCCTTTTCCTTCTCTCCCATCTGCCCCATCTTGGAAATTTTGCTGGGAGGTGACTGAGGTGGGCTTGGTTGCAGTCCAACAGCTATGTTAGATTTAGAAGTTACCTTGGTTGGATTCCCCTAAAACTCCTGAATCTACATCTCCTCTCAGGTTTCAAGCAATTACAAAAATAAAACAATATGTTGTACACAGTCTAGCAAAAACATAAAACAAAAATAAAACCACGGGTAGTGGGAAATAAAACAGTCTTACTAGAATGGCAGACAACTTATGTTGTCATCTTAGAAGTTTCCCATATTTTTAATAACTCTGATGCATGCTCATCTATCTTCAGTACAACTAAAAATTGCAGCCATACTTTTTCTAAGAAAGCTGCTCCTTTTTCCCTGACCAGGGCACCATTGTGTATTATATTTAAAAAGGGCATGGTTTAATGTAAAAAACTGCCTGGGAGTGACTTCTTACTGAGGTAGTATCAAATTATTGCATTAACCTTTCAGTAATTAATGACCACACTTCTAGTTTGACCTTTAGGATCTGTAAACCTGACAGTAAATGTACTATTTATGCCGACTTTTATGAAGAAAAATGGGAAATTTGGATATGAGAGCGCTGCCATATGACTCATTCAAATCTAGGAAATCTCTGCTCATAGTGTTACAAATTATTCCCTTTGGTTGCAAAATGAGTCAGTCAGTAAACTGCTTATCACTGTTTGCAAATCAGATATGAAGAAGTTGGTTGCCTGAAGGTAAAATAATAGCAGACGCTTAGAATAGGTTCTTGCAAAATGCTTTTCACCAGGTTATCCATGCAAATCATTGTATGCTTATGTATTTGTTTTCTAGTTTACACAGCCAAAGGAAGTTTGACAAAACAGTTTCTGACTGAGTTGAATTACAATGGGCATGACCCAGTGTTTGACAGTTGTGAAAAACACAGATTCCATGTTGGGAGGCCTTGGGGAAGGAATTGAGGAAGAAACTGCCAGTATCATATTGCCTTCACCCTAAGGATGGGGAACTGTATTGCTCTGGGGAACATGGATCGCATCTCCTGCAGCCCTCCACAGGCTGAATGATGTCAGGGAGGGAACTAAGCCCCTGTCATCATTTGATTCCTGGCTGATAGCTGCGCTGTTCACCCAGCATGTCTCCATTGCTTGCTGGTTCCCCTCATTGGATGGGCCCAAGATGCAGCTAAACTGAGTGAGCAGCTGGAGGAGTGTTCCCTGATGCACACACTGGGGCATCTTGGTTGTGGATCACAGCCAGAGATGACAGGAGAAAAACCATCCTTTGGATCTCACTGATCATCCTCCCTCCCTGCTTCATGGATTGGACTGTGTTTGGGTGAGAGTAAGCTTGGGACCTAATAATACAGAGTTGTGGTCTGGAATTTCAGCCATCCTGGTTTCAGCACCTCTATTTTTATCTTTTAGGTATGGTACAGCCAGAACGGATTCCATTCATTCCCTTCTTATTTAAACCAGCTAAACAACCTTCTTCTGTGAAAGAATCTACCTCCAGATATCGATTGGAAACAGTATGGTATGGCAGCAATATTTTACAGATGAAATATGTTGGTCTTTAAAAAGATGCAGAATACTAAATGAAAGGATTGGACACCAATCCTATGCATGTTTAGACAGAAAGACGTCTTACATCTCCCAGCGTACTCCAGTCTACCATGCATAATGGTTCATTACAGCATTGTTTTATTGGCTCAGCCTGCTGAAAAGAGATCTAATACATCTTACAAACAAGTAACTGCAATTGTAAAGTCCCAAAATGCATATTATTTTTAAAACAGAGTATATCTTATCTGAGATACACAAGATTAAAAGTCATTCTTGTGCTTTTTTGTGTACAGTGTATACAATCCCAAATAAGCCAAGTATTTCTAGATTGCAGCAGGAAGTCAGGATCCAAGCAACTATGCACATCTGCTTGTGTTTGTTGAACAGCAGCCCTGTTCATTGTGATTTGACATGGAAATTAAGTGTTGAAAGAAAGAGCGAGAGAAATTTCTACTGTGTGAACACAAGCCCAAATACTTGTTTGTTTCCAAGCAGTTCTTGAATTCTACTTTTGAAATTGTTTTAGTAATTAGTCCAGGTAATATAAGAGTTTATTTCTTCATCAGCTATTACTGCCTATTGACCAAATGTTCAAAATGTAACCATTTCACTTGGGTTAGCCAAAACGGGAAAATGATGTGTTTGCTTGGACCTGTTTCATGCAAATCCATTCCACTGCTTCCTAAATAAATAAACCTTTGGAAAGGGACATGTCCTGAAAACAATGTGTTATGTAGTAAAATGAGGCTAGCAGTATAGTCCATTGAGGCTGCCTGTAACCTTCCAAACCCAGAGGATTATGGATATCCTATAGAAGATGGGAGAAGCAGGGCAATGAAGGTTGCCTCCTCATACCTCCTGCCATGCAAAACATTTAGACAGCCACTTTCAGCTGTCCAAGTGTCTTGGCATGGAGCACAAGGCTGAGGCTCCACCAAGAAACTGCAAATGCTAGTGGTATCTTTCTCCCATGCTCCTCACCCCCTGAAATGCCCCTCAAAGCTTGTCTATGTCTAGCAGGGCACAAGCCCTGAGGCTTGCAATGTTTACATGCTTCCTGAACACAGTGGAACTTGCTTCCAGGTACAAATATGGAATGTTTTTAATGCACTTGGATTTATTTCTGCGTAGCCATGCATAGCATTGGGTGCAAAGGATGTGATTTGAAGGAGAGCTACTGGGGAGCAGTTTTCCTAGAATTACAGAGGAAAGATTTTTGTAACTGGAAGGGAGAGTGTTGTTGTTAGTTGCGAAGTCGTGTCTGACCCATCGTGACCCCATGGACAACATTCCTCCAGGCCTTCTTGTCCTCCACCATCCCCCGGAGTCCACTTAAGCTCACACCGACGGCTTCAGTGACTCCATCGAGTCACCTCATTCTCTGTCATCCCCTTCTTCTTTTGCCCTCAATTGTTCCCAGCATCAGGCTCTTCTCCAGGGAGTCCTTCCTTCTCATTAGGTGGCCAAAGTATTTGAGTTTCATCTTCATTATCTGGCCTTCTAAACAGCAGTCAGGGTTGATCTCCTCTAAGACTGACTGCTTTGATCTCCTTGCAGTCCAAGGAACTTGCAGGAGTCTCCTCCAGCACCAAAATTCAAAGGCCTCAATTCTTTAGCGCTCAGCCTTCCTTATGGTCCAACTTTCACAGCCATGCATTGCAACTGGGAAAACCATGGCCTTGACTATACACACTTTTTTTGGCAGGGTGATGTCTCTGCTTTTTAGTATGCTGTCTAGATTTGCCATAGCTTTCCTCCCCAGGAGCAAGCGTCTTTTAATTTCTTGGCTGCAATCTCCACCTGTGGTGATCTTGGAGCCCAGGAAAATAAAATCTGTCACTACCTCCATTTCTTCCCCATCTATTTGCCAAGAAGTGAGAGGACTGGATGCCATTAGTTTTCTTAATGTTGAGTTTTAAGCCAACTTTTGCGCTCTCCTCCTTCACCTGCATCAAGAGGCTCTTTAGTTCCCCTTCACTTTCTGCCATTAGAGTGAATGGAGAGTACAGTTGATTAATAAACAGAATGTTATATGCGGGCAGAATATGGATGGATTGATCTGGCCACATAGCACAAAATTGTAGATTGTAAACCTAGAAACAAGAAAGGAAAAGGATTAAACTGGTAGAGTTCTAAAACAATATAAACGATGGATTTGCTCATGAGCGCATTCAAGAACTGGACAATTGACAAAGGCACTAAAGTCTTTAGAAATGTTGCTAGCACATTGATTTTAATACAATGCGTATCATTATAGTATCATTTCCATGCAGTAAGTATTAGCTAGCCACAGTAAAAGAAAAAAAGGTATAACTGAGAGAGGGAGAGTTAAATATCACCTCAGAGCCTGCTCCAGTCTGACCATCCTCTTCTGCCACTGAGACAATTGCATTCTGCCCTGTGGGATGTTCCCAAAAGAAGCAGGGGTACAGGCAGGCAAATAACATTTCAGGGCCTGCTTCAGTTGGTTTCCCCGTATAAATGCACCTCTATGGGAAGGATCATGATAAGTTTAAGAGTGCTCATTGTGGTTTGATTGGTAATTGCTTATTACCTGTAAGCACCCTGGAAAGATTTGTATGCTAAAAGACAGTATAAGGATGATGGTGATGGTGATGGTGATTCATAGAATAAATGGACAAATAATCCAACCGTGGTTTATTGATGCTATAGATTTGTGTAAACTGGTATGACTAGTCCCTGCATATTAGTTTTGACATTTTCCTGTCAAGATGAGTATCATGATACAGCCGAGATGTTGAGTGTAGCACCAATCTAGATGTGGGCAAAATAGTAACTCGGGGAAAACTTACCCACTAGTGTAGAGTCGAGATTAAGCTTGCTTGGCTTCCTCTCCACCATTACTGTGCCAGGCATTTATTACTTGTGCAGATGGCCACTAGCCAGCTAGCTAAGAGAGATGGCAACAGGATCACTCCCATTTCTGGGTGACCTGCGGGTACTGACCACCCTGATTCATTGAGCTCAGTCCCAGGAGGATTTGATCCACCAATGGTGTTTCTTCTGCTGTCTGAAGGACCCCACTGGATGCAACCCAGTTTAACAGACTTTCACAAAAGGTATGTTTGAGAGCTGCTGTAGAATTATTATCTTTTGCTTCTTGTTCCCTTCTTGTTCCAAATGATGCTAACATGAGAATGAAGATCGCTTGTCTGAATCAGCCTTTGCTTTAAGAATCACTCATGGAGGGCAGTTGCCCAACATACCTTCTTTTCACCATGCAGCACAGGCATGGTTGAAAGTATCTGGGCAGAATGACAAGGAACATTTGTGCTTATGGTCACTGCTTGTTGCTAAGCATTCAGGATAAGCAGTGGTTTCTGAAAGTGTAGCAGGATCTTCAGGATTATGAAAAGAGTGAGGCAAGGCCTGCAATAGCTAGCTGGGTGAGTTCCTTGAATAAGCAGCCAATGAGCTAACGTGGAGTGCATTAACCAGCCTGGCAGGGTAGACTGCCATGCCAGTGGGGCTCCTTATTCAGAGCAGCTTTTACTCTGAGCTTTACAGGAACCCTGCATGGTGGCAAACCCACTTTGAGGATTGAGTTCAGCACCATGAACAGTTCCTATGGGGCTCAGAAAAAGGCTGTGATGGATGAGGAGCCCCACTTCATAGCAACCTTTCCTGCCTTTTCCATGAATTTGGAAATTAGTTCCTGTTGTCCTATGGGCACAATGGAACTAGAAGAGGCACAGTGAAAGTATAGGATACTGTCCCATAGTTCTGAAAAGACTAGTATGAAAAGCATGTAGGATGCCAAGGTTGTAATCTAAATAGCCAAACTCCAATGAAGTCAAGAGTAGATTTTGTAGAAATGAAGAGTACCTGTTGTGGACCCAAGGAAAGTATGAGCTGTCAGTAGATATCCCTTAAAAGGGTCTTGAAACTAAGTTTCAATGGCATATTTCACTAATGCTCCCTGGTGTGAATATGATGTTTTCTTTTTTAATGGCATTACATTTTCCTGTCAAGATGAGTGCAGTTTTCTAGGGAGTCAAGGGCATAAATGGCCACATCAAAAAAGCAGAGAGAGGAAGAAGGCAAATTATGTCCTCACATAAAAAGAACAGTTGATGGTTTTCTACAAGGGAATTCTTTGGAAATACTGAAGAATAAAAAAATTCTGTGCCTCTAGTGAGAGTCAGGGAGGACAAATTGTCTGAGAGCAGGCACAGTAAACTTGTGAAAAGATTGATCTATTATGTAATAAAAGCCAAGCATAAAATGTGAAAAGTTTGCAAATTGCTCATACTCTAGTCCATTAGACAGTCCCCCGACAGTTTGCCATTTCCCCCTCCTTCACATATGTATACCTGCACAGATATTGGCATTAGAGGCACTTGTTAGGGCTTGATTTTATGTATCTGACTATGTGGGAAGTAGTTTCCACCTGTAAAGGGCTGTCAGAAATCACTGGGTCAGGTCGTCCTCATGCTCTGTCTAGAAACACCCAAGCAGCCAGATTAAGGTGGAATGAAGGCCTGCCTGAAAGGGCTGTTAGCCAATAAAAGTAGGCTAGCCCAGCATGGAGCAGGTGGAAATGAAACCTCAGTGGCAGAAGTTGGTACTCATCAAGAGCAGAATATTAAGTTCCAGGATGTAGCAGGAGGTGAAAAGGGTGGAAAAGGAGCTTGAAGGAAGAGAGGGGCATGCTGCATACCCTGGCAGAAGAAGGAGAAAGATCCCCTTCACAGTCAATTGTCTTGGCTTGCTTTGGTGAGGAGTCTGGAATGACCCAGCAGAAAGAGACAGAAATACTGCAGGTATATCCAGGCCTTGGCTTAACATGTCTGGAGGCATTGAAGAAGCCTCAAGTGCCAAGAGCCTGTGGAAGCTTCTCCTATAGAAGCAGACAAGCCTTGCCACAAGCAGAAGAGCCACCAGAGGGGCAGGTACTTCAGACAAAGGATGCTGGATACCTTGTTGATGTAAAGCCAGGAAGAGTCTTGT